AGAAGTTGTAAGGCGACACATTTACTTGTTTTCAAACTGTAAGACAATAAATGGCAGCAAGTGTTATTTTTTTTTCTGTAGGTAGGAAAATGAGCCCTGATATTGCCAACTCTGCTAACTTTACGTGGACAGGAATGAAGAAAGGAGAGACCTACGCAGCGCAACGGCACCGACTCTAACCGACACCGGTGTTGTCCTTTTCGCACCCTTCGCACCGAGAGAGGAAGAGCTGAGAAGGTAATGAGAGACAGAGGGAGAAAACAGCGCATCCGTTTCAACCTTCGCAGTCTGGTCGTAAAATACATTCATACATTCTTGATTTCCCCCTTATTTCCTTTCTTCTGTTATTGCAGAATGGTCAGACTGAAAGATTTATTTAAAGTTAAATGGTTATATTCATTGCTTCTTTCTCCGTGGATGAGCGAGAGGGTCCTCTAGTCACAATCCTGTCAGCGCCCTGAGGGGAGAGAAACAACATTACTGCCACGTCACTGCTTCTGTGGCCTCAATTCAACTCAGCTCAAAGCCTCACCAACCAAACCCAAACCAAGCACTTTAAAAATCCCAAACTGCAACAAACAAATACATAAAACAAAGACTTCAAAAAAAAGGGAGAGTTTGGACACATGTGCAAGCTATCTCTGAAGCGTAGAGGAAATGTTTGTGTCATGAAACCCTCACACGAATGAAACCAGACTGTTTAATTAATAAGTTGGAGGGTTCTCACCTCAGCCACTCAACAGGAGTACGTCCTCACTGAGGCAGATTCACCCCGGGCACCAGAGCTGGCTGTGTTGGAAACCGAGACACAGAGGGGGTTTTTATTATAACTGCAAAAGTCTTTTAAACAGCACTGACCTTCCAGAGGCATTCCTATTAAGAGGAGGAATGAGGGGAAATAGTCTTCCTCTGTACTTTGAAGCGTCTGCTCCTTGTTATTGCCAGTTCCTCCACTGAAGGCAACACAAAATTCCACTGGCAAATTAATAGCAGAGTAGCATGAAAACAACCAACTGCCGCCTGTGCATTAGCAGCATCTTATATAACAGCCGGCGCGTTCTGGCTGCAGAAAAATCTTTCAGCTCGAGGCTCATTTCCAAGAATTACAAATGTAAACACACGGCTCATTTATTAAGAGGTCTACGGTACCGTTTCACCTGGGCCGACCTTGCACTGTTCCCCCACTACAACCAAAGTTTTGCCCCAGTTTTTCAAACGCTCTTCATGAGGTCCTCACTCGGCTCTTCCCTCACACTGACCTTTTAAGGCAGAGACCCTCCCTTCATGTTTCTTCCTGTTAAAAGGAAGTTTTAAGAAGGGTCTCCAGACCTCAAGGACGACTTATTAGGTTTAAATGTAAGGATATGACCTTGCTATGTGTGGTTCCCTGAGATTACAAATGCAAGAATCTGGTGCTTTATAATAACCATCATTAATAAAAGTAAATTGAGCTTTGGTTTAACATCGTTAGTAATGATGGATAATTAATAATGCTTACTAATTGGGTTTACGGTAAACCTTTAACTGATGTTTATAATACTTATTTTAAACTGTGGTTTGTTTCACTCACTGCTTTGTTTTGGCTTTTATCTTCATATTTACCAGCTGTTTGGTGAGGTTTTTGAAAAGAAAATTGCATTTTGAGTAAAAGATAAGGAGTCTGGAGTGAGATCGGTCTCCCTGTCGTCTTCCTGTAAACCTCCAAATGGAAATCACCTTGTGCGAATCTCTGAGATTCCAGGAGCTTTGACTAAACTGCAGTAATTGGCTGCCAGGAAATGAGAACATTAAGTGTTTCGTCCTCTAAATGGTGACGCGACTCGAGGGCTCAAAAGAGCTGAACGAATCCGGAGGTGAGAGCAAATGTTTCAGAGGTCACGGGGTCATACTCACCTTCACTCTGAACCTTTCTCAGGGTAACGGAGGGTGTAGAGATGGCTGAGGCACGGAAGTTAGCAGGCAGGGTCTCGGCAGAGTCAGAGGTCACGCCCCGCAGGTCTTTCTCCCTAAACATCTTCCTCCAGGAGGGAGAGCGGGTGAATGTCTTAGTCCCGTCCTGTCAGCGAGACACATGTCGCGAGCCTTATGATGGATCCTCGTGCAAACAACCTTTGTATTCTTCGTGGGTATTTTGTTTTCTTTTTTTAAAGACGTATTAGCATGCTCACCTCATCGGGCCGTCTCTCAGTTCCCATGGAGATGAGGGAGTTGTACTCTTGCTCCAGGAGCTGTCTGGCCTGCAAGATAGAGGTGATGGAGAGCTCGGAGATTAGCTTGGACTCTGCAGATGATGCGTTTTCAGATCAGGGCTGCTCTGCTGTGCTGGCATACATTCATTCTTTGAACATGATACCTGTTTTATAACAATACTGTGGATTCTCATTTGATTTTCAGTGCAACAGGAACAACCTCTGCAAACATTTTTAGACATAACAGACATAATTCTATTTGAGACGGAGCAGCTGAGAAGATCTTTTTAAAGACAGTTATTATATTACTAATTTTCTTATATATGTTTAACTAAGTGTGCAACGGTGTACCTAATTACATACGCCCTTTTTGCATACATTTGTGCAATAGCACGAGGACTTTTGGATACAGCTACACCCAAAACCTTTGTTACAGGTATGATAGCATAACTGGGATTGCTTTGAATGTGTGTCATCATGGCAAAATGTGGCCCTACAGACTCGTACTATCGCAGTTTAGAGTACTTTGGCTTGTGTTTTGCGATGACACAACTCACACACATATATAAACATGCTGGCATTCAGGCTCATCTTCAGCAGTCGACACTACTTTTTCAATGGACACTCGGTCCACATGGGTCGTACCACACCCAACGTTGAGCTTTTCTTTCATTTTGATCTCAACTCCAACCTTGTAAATGTTTTGCGACTGTATCTTGGAGATGTGTGACATCATTGTGTTGACTACGTCTGTCCACTGACTTCCAGATAGAAAGATAAACACCAGTCAAAGCATTCAAAACTGCCTTTGCAGTAGTTCCCACTATTACAGCTGGGGAAAGGCATTTTTGCTCGGTTTTTAGGAATTTGTTGCCATATAAATATAAATTCATCCATTATCACAAACACTTCAGGGTCACAGCAGGTCTGGAGCCTACACTGGGTGTCATAGGGTGAGAGGTGGGGTACGCACTGGACAGGTCGCCTGTCCATCACAGAGATACGGTGAACCATTTCTAACAGTGGCCAACTTTTTGGCTAATTAGCCTAAATGACATGTCTTTAGACTGCAGGAAGAGCCTGAAACACCCGAAAGGAAAGCACACAGGCACAGAGCGAATATACAAATTGCACACAGTCCCAGCTGGACCCAGAATCTTCCTTCTGTGATGCAACAGTGTTAACAATTCTGCCACTGTGCTGCCTGTTGTATAACTCAGATTAGGGTTAGGGTAAATACCACAGAACTGTCTAAAAATGGCAAATTATCAAAATCTAAAAAACTTTATATGGATCTTAAAGTGCAAAATATCTGATAAATTGTCTTTGGACGTAGGAACAGACTTTGATGCAAAGACATTTCTCTTGATGTGCATCGACAATGAATCCACTACCTGCGTGTTCTGATTGGGGATCTGCAGCAGCAGGGCCAGGTCAGTGTAGTCAAATGTGTCGTCTAAAGCCAGCAGAGCCCCGTGGACGCCGCTCTCCCGGAGGTTGTCGGCGTACTCCTTCAGACCGATGCACTGCACCCAGCACATCACACGCTCATTGGACCATACCATCACATCTAGGAAGAGAAAGGGAGGAGGTGAAAGGAAGGGAGGAGAGGCATTCATCTGCAAACAGAAAGCTGTCTGCACACTATTTTTAAATCTTTATTAAAACTGAAGTCACTTCCTTTAGTTTAATTTGGATACATCAACACATGCTCAGATTTATTAACCGTCTTCTGTAAGGGTCGGCGATCAGAGGAAATAATGAAACATTCGACTAACTGATTTATTTTCTGCACATGGTCAACACAGGTCAGGCCTATCATCAGACAAACCCAGATTCGCTAATTTCCTCATCTGCATGATTCCTCTGGGGAGAAGCCAAGATGAACCGACTGTAAATGCACAACATGTGTTTTTCAAGGCGCAGCAGTGGGAGAGCGAGAGATTTGGGTTTGTTTAATGACCGAACGTGTTGACATTTATGTAATCATTATCCAGCCAAGCTAGAAGGCTGTGGCTTATAATCTCTTCTAGGTATGACGAGGGGAGGGTGGAAACAATGGGTGGTCTAAACACAGGAATTCCCAGGAACGTGAGAAATCAAAGAAAATAGCCATTAAGGGTTTTTTTGTTTCACTTTTTTTTACATGCCAGCGCTGATGCAAGAAAGTATTTTTATAGTTTACTTGTAAAGACTTTCCTTTATTACATCTGCTTACTTTAAAGAGATTTGACGAAAGTTAAAAGCAGTTCAGCAACTTTCCCTGCTAAAATTCTAAAACCCCCAAACTTGTGAAGAATGGAAAGTTTTAGTCATTAAAATCTGTTTTGTAAATGTTATAGCTTCTCAAATACTGCATCATTTTACGGAGATTACATAATCTTATTATTCCTTTATGCAGATGATAAATTCTTATTACTATGGAAACCGTCCGCAGAGATGCTAGGCAGTTTGGTAAAAGGTTGCTGGCAGTGTAGACTGATGGCAGGTCAAAAACAAACATAATTTCACACTGAAACAAGGTGAAGCAGCCAAATCTGAGAAAATAATTCAGACAGAAGAAAGCTAGAACTTGAACTGATCAGCCACCTTTACAACATGGTGATATGACATTTGAAAACAGATAAAATAACAGATAAAATATCCAGTGCTTGTTGCTATTTCTCTGTTTTAGACAGTAAATTGGGTGGGGTTTTGCTCTTTGCTGGGTTAACAAATACTAGAATTAAAAAAAACAACAACAATTAAAAACATCTACTGATCAGTATCAATATCTTTACCTCTGCCACTTCATTTTATGTTGCTGGTTTGTTCTTTATCAGAACGACTCAAAAGATTTTGCACAGATATGCATGACAGTTTTTACCAGAGGTGTGGTTTGATCAAGATGGGAACCAAAGAATTCTTGAAAAGCTTCTTTACCCATGCAAGACATGGCACAATTGCATTTTGCATCATAACTTTACAAATACATCAAATTGAGCTTCATGTATGGTCTCGTTAGTCTCGATAAAATATCATAAACTTATCTGAATCCAGAGATTCGATTAGCGGATGCAGGTGATTTTCAGCCTTTGTAGAGCCATGCGGCTCATGTTTATTTAAAACTGTATAAGAAGCTAAGATTCAAGTTCGCACATAAACTCCGAATTACACTTTGATAATCCAGGTGGGAAGCGGCCTTTTCTGACACGTAAGCCGAACAGGAGA